AGGGGCAGGTGTAGCACTTCCTGCGGTTGCAGGGAAAAGTGCCGGGTGAGGTGGGGCTGGAGCGGACAAGGGAGTCACGGAGAAAGTGGTCCCTCCGGAAAGCAGATAAGGGTGGGGAGGGAAAAATATCTTTGGTGGTGGGGTCGGATTGCAGATGGCGGAAGTGTCGGAGGATGATGTGTTGGATCCGGAGGTTGGCGGGGTGGTACGTGAGGACGAGGGGGATTCTGTTTTGGTTGTTATGCCCCGGTCGAGGGTGTTCTCGACCACTGAGGGGGGAAGTTGCGGTCCTTGAAAAACAAAGACATCTGAGATGTACGGGAGTGGAATTACTCATCCTGGGAGCAGATGCGGTGGAGGCGAAGGAATTGGGAATAGGGAATGGCATTTTTGCAGGAAGGTGGGTGGGAGGAGGTGTATTCTAGGTAGCTGTGGGAGTCGGTGGGGTTGAAATGGATATCGGTTTCTAGGTGGTTGCCCGAGATGGAGACAGAGAGGTCCAGGAAGGAGAGAGAGGTATTAGAGATGGTCCAGGTGAACTTAAGGTTGGGGTGGAAGGTGTTGGTGAAGTGGATGAACTGTTCGAGCTCCTCGTGGGAGCACGAGGTGGCGCCGATACAGTCATCAATGTAATGGAGGAAGAGGTGGGGTTTAGGGCCAGTGTAGGTACGGAAGAGGGATTGTTCCACGTAACCTACAAAGAGGCAGGCATAGCTTGGGCCCATGCGGGTACCCATGGCCACCCCCTTTGTCTGTAGGAACTGGGAGGAATTGAAAGAGAAGTTGTTGAGGGTGAGGACGAGTTCGGCTAAGCGGATGAGGGTGTCAGTGGAGGGGGACTGGTTGGGCCTGCGGGACAGGAAGAAGCGGAGGGCCTTTAGGCCATCTGTATGGGGAATGCAGGTGTATAGGGACTGGACGTCCATGGTAAAGATGAGGTGTTGGGGACCAGGGAATTGGAAGGTCTGGAGGAGGTGGAGGGCGTGGGTGGTGTCACGAACGGAGGTAGGGAGTTCCTGGACCAAGGGGGAGAAAATGGAGTCCAGATAGGTGGAGATAAGTTCGGTGGGGCACAGGGCAGTCAGGTTTGTGGATTTTGGGAAGGAGGGGGCAGTGCGGGGTTGGGGAACGATGAGGTCGGAGGCTGTGGGTGGGAGGTCACCTGAAGTGATGAGGTTGCGGATGGTTTGGGAGATGATGGTTTGGTGGTCGGGGGTCGGGTCATGATCAAGGGGGCGGTAAGAGGTGGTGTCGGAGAGTTGGTGCCTGGCCTCGGCGATGTAGAGGTCAGTGCGCCATACTACAACTGCGCCTCCCTTGTCCGCAGGTTTTATGGTGAGGTTGGGATTGGAGCAGAGGGAGCGGAGGGCTGCACATCCTGCGGTGGAGAGGTTGGAGTGGGTGAGAGGGGTGGAGAGGTTGAAGTGATCGATGTCACGATGGCAGTTGGAGATGAAGAGGTCGAGGGAGGGTAGGAGGCCTTGGGGTGGTGTCCAGGAGGAGGGGGTGTGTTGGAGGCGGGAGAAGGGGTCAGTAGAGGGAGGGTTAGGCTCATGGTTGAAGAAGTAAGCGTGGAGGCGGAGGCAGCGGAAAAACTGCTCTATGTCCAAATGTGACCAGTATTCGTTGATGTGTGGGTGGAGGGGGACAAAGGTGAGCCCTTTACTGAGGACTCACCATTCGTCCTCAGTAAGGGGGAGGTCTGGGGGGATGGTGAAGACTCGGCAGGGCTGGGTGTTGCTGTGTCCTCTGGAGGTGCTGGCTGTGGAGGCGGTGGGCGGAGCGACGTTGGCATTGGCAGTGGGCGGAGTTGCGTCGGCGTCAGGCGGAGCTGCATCGGCGTCGGCGGTGGGCGGAGCGGGGTAGGAGGCAGCAGCAACAGTGACGGTAGGTGCGTCCTCAGTGTCTATGGTGTTGGCCTCGGAAATGGAGGCGGTGGCATCAGCAGCGGTGTCAATGGCGTTCGCTGTCCCGGAAGTGGTGTACCCAGCGGCGGAGGATGTGACGTCATCCGTGGTTGCTCCGACAGTGGCCACATGGCCAATGGCGGCAGGCACATTGTGGGGAAGGTCCTGGGTAGGGTTGGGGATTTGGGAGGTGGAGGAAGCCTGTTTTGGGTGATAGGCACCAGTAAGTTTACTGTACTTACGGTTTTTTTGTGTCCAATAAAGCGGAGTAGAATTGTGAGTTCAGGTTGTGGATCCTACGAAGAATAAAAAACAGGAGAGGTCCTCTGGGAGAGGGAGGCTCTGAGCTGGGGTAGGCTTGATTGTAGTGCCAGGAGATGCCGGCGCATTGCTGCCAGTGTGTGTTTCAGGAGTCGCAGGGAGAAACGCTTCTGAAGGATCTCAATGTTCTGAATGTAGACATTGTCACGGTTGGGGCCAAATTGGGAAAGCCTGAATGTGGACTGTAGTCCATTGGGGATGATCTGGTTCCGTAGGCAGGTACTAAGAAAGGTGATGTGGCTGTAGTGCCTGGTTTGCTTCAGGACGTGGTCGAGCAGTTTCAAGGCCGAACAGATTACAAGAGACTTGCAGTGGGAGAGAGATGCACGGAGGTTTTTCCGGAGGGAGGAGGGTAACTTCTTCAGGGTAGTCATCCTTAGAAGAGGCTTTGCAGTGGGGTTAAAATTGTTTCAGAGATAGTAGGAACTGCAGATGCTGGAGAATCTGAGATAACAAACTGCAGATGCTGCACATCTGCTAATGTGGTATACTGTGGCCTCCTCTACATCAGGGAAACCAAGAGAAGGCTTGGGGACCGCTTTGCAGAACACCCACACTCGGTTCGCACTAAACAACTGCACCTCCCAGTCGCAAACCATTTCAACTCCCCCTCCCATTCCTCAGACGACATGTCCATCCTGGGCCTCCTGCAGTGCCACAACGATGCTACCCGAAGGTTGCAGGAACAGCAACTCATATTCCGCTTGGGACCCCTGCAGCCCAATGGTATCAATGTGGACTTCACAAGCTTCAAAATCTCCCCTCCCCCTACCGCATCCCAAAACCAGTCCAGCTCGTCCCCGCCTCCCTAACCTGTCCTTCCTCCCACCTATCCCCTCCTCTCACCTCAAGCCCCACCCCCATCTCCTACCTACTAACCTCATCCCGCCACCTTGACCTGTCCGTCCTCCCTGGACTGACCTATCTCCTCCCTACCTCCCCACCTACACTCACCTTTACTGGCTCCATCCCCGCCTCTTTGACCTGTCTGTCTCCTCTCCACCTATCTTCTCCTCTATCCATCTTCTATCCGCCTCCCCCTCTCTCCCTATTTATTTCAGAACCCCCTTCCCCTCCCCCATTTCTGAAGAAGGGTGTAAGCCCGAAACGTCAGCCTTCCTGCTCCTCTGATGCTGCTTGGCCTGCTGTGTTCATCCAGCTCTACACCTTGTTATCTCAGATTCTCCAGCATCTGCAGTTCCTACTATCTCTGGTTTTTAGAAGCCCTGTTGAACTAAATTTGCTATATCAGCAGACATTCGCATTAGGCAAGCAGAAATGTTTTAAGGAGCATTTTAAAGCAGGATAAAGAGAGTATTTCGGGAAGGGAAATTCAAACATCCAGTGATTAAAGGCACAGTTGCCAATGAAACAACAGCTAAAATTATAAACGGTGAACAGACCAGAAATCTGAGCTGTGGAGGCTACAAGTTAGACAGACAGGTAATGGGGAGGTCGCATAGGGGTTTGAAAACAGGGATGAGAATTTTTAAATGTAAAGAATTGCTTGGTTGGGAACCAGTGTAGGTCAGCACATATAGGTATTCTGGAATACTGGGTAAATGGAAATCGCCCCAGTTAAGGCAACAATAGCAGAATTTTGGATCACCTCAGTTTATAGAGACTATAAGTCAGTAGAATTTTGCTGAAATAGAGGTAACAAATATACGGATGAGTGATTCAGCAGAAGACAATACAGATTAACCCAGTTACTACAGCTCAGTTAATTTAACCTCAATGCTGAGACAACTTTTAAAATTGCTAATCCAAGATGAAATTAACAATTACTTGGCCAAGTTCTTCATTAAGGAAAACCATCATCAATTTGTTAAAGTAAATCACATTTTCTCAATATGATTTAGTTCTATGATGAGATTGTCGATGGGGATACGTGAGCATGTCACATAATAGACTAGGCAGCAAAGTTGAATCCCCTGAAATAAACAGTGAAAATAGCAGGATT